CCTTGAAAAAGCCTAGGATTCTAAGAGATGAAGGTGAAGAATGAATGCAGTACAAAAAAACAGGGGACAGCTTGTTGCAAGGAAGAGAGGAGTCATAGGAGAGATGGAATAGTGATAATTGTGTGTGTACATACACATATGATATATGCAGTATATAATATGTATATAATACACATATATAGCTTTGTTTGCAAAGTACTTTCCCTATATTCTATAATTTGATGTAGATGGGAACATAAATTTACAACTAGAAGGGACTTGAGAGTCTGTCTTTAGAGATGAGCAAATTGAGGCCATAAGTGAATTCCCCGATGCCATGCAAGTATTAAGCAGCAGGGCTGGAATTTGAACCCATGCTCCAAATGCAGCATTCCTTCCACTGTTGGAAATAGCTAATAGGCCCTCCTTGGCTGGAATGTAGAATAGGTAAATGGTAGTAATATGAAAAAAGTCTGAAAACAGATTATGGGAAGCTGTAAATGCCAATTAAAGGAGTTTGTATTTTATGGTAGAGGCAATAGGTAGCCACAGAACATTTTTGAGCAGAGATGTGATAAAGTTAGATTTATGTCTTAGAAATATTAATTTTGCAGCCATATGGGAAATAGTATTGGAACAGGAAGAGACTGGATGCCAGGAGACCAACTCAAAATCTTTCACTATAGCCCAAGCAAGAAGTAATAAGGGTCTCAGTTAAGGTGAGGATGTTTGAGTGGAAAGAGGAGGGTGGATGCCAGCTCTGTTGTTGATTCTGCCTCCTTAAGATTTGGCAGCTGATCAGATATGGGGAGGTGAAGTGGTCAAGGTTGCAGACCTGCATGACTGGAAGGACAGCCATGTCACTCCTCACAGAGAGGAAGATTGGTTTGAGGAGGAAGACGTTGAGTTCAGTTTTGAAATCTGAGATGCTGAGGAAGCAGCCGGGTGGAGGTGTCCAGCAAATTGGTACTGTGGAATTGGAGTTCAGGAGAGAGATTAGGCCTCTGTGTGTGTGTGTATGTGTGTGTGTGTGTGTGTGTGTGTGTGTATGTGTATCTTTGGGAATCATATTGCAGAGGGTTGAGTCAGTCAGTCACCTAGCATTTATTAAGCACCCACTGTGTGTCAGATACTGTGGTAAGCACTGGGGATACAGAAAAGGCAATAAAACAAAACCAACTCTCAATGAGCTTACCTGAGAATGGGTGAGACAACACGCGAACAACTATGTACAGATGAGATATATACAGGATAAATTGGGGATGGCCTCAGAGACAAGACTTGAAGATTAAAGAGGCCTGGGAAAGGCTTCTTGCAGAAGGTGAGATTTTTAGCTGAGACTTTAAGGAACCTGGGGAAGCCAGGAGGCAGAGATGAAGAGGGAGAGTTCTAGGCATAGGGGATTGAGAGAAAACACTTGGATTTAGGAGATAGAGTGACTAACCAACTGACTTGGGTATGTTAGTAGGCAGCAGGTAAAGTACCAGTGGATAAGGAGAGATTGAATCTGAGAAAAATGGAGAGGGCAGACTCCCAATGGGGCAGGATGGAATCAAGGGCACAGAAAGAGGAGCCACCTCTTTCCCAGAGACTAGAAGGAAGGAGGAGAGAATGAGAAGTGATTGGAAGTCTTCTGAGCTATGGATCAGGGGAAAAGAGAGAGGCTACAATGAATAGGCTTGATTTTTTTTTTTTTCAGTAAAATCAACCTTTTGCTGAGAAGGAATAGGAAGAGGGGTTGTATGGAGGGTTGAGGAGAGTAAAATAGAGGGATAGAGGCTGTGGGGAGTGTGCTAGTATCAATTCTAGAAGGGTAGAAAGAACTGGTCTGCGTCAGTGAAGACCCTGTTGAGGATTAGGTAGCATATATTTGTGATGGAAGTGGTTGCCGTGGTTGCCATGGTTGTATGGTATTTTCCAGCACTGATCTGCAGCCTGCAAGGAGGAGCAGAGCAGGCGCAGGATATGGGTACCCCAGGGGTGGGGTGGAGCTAGGCATGCCCAGAGGACAAGGGGGCAGCAGATGCAATGGTGATCAAACTTGTCAAGACTGTCTTCCGAGGAAGGTGAGGCCAGAGCCAGGTTGGTGGATTAGGAAAACAAGGAGGGGTAGGGGGACTGGAGGTCATTGTGAGGATAAAGAATAAATTTAGGAGGAAAGAGACAGAGGGAAAGGTGGGAGGTTGTAATAAGAAAGAGGTATTTCAGAATGCCAGACATAGGTCTTAAATGATCTCTAAGGATTCTTCTGGCTTTGAATCCTAAGACATTGCCCTGAGCATCTTCTTGGGGGAAGGGATGCAGATTGTTATCCAAAAAACAGTGGAATGGTTTGAATATAGGCTATATTCCTTAAATGAGATCTCTTTGAAAGAAAAAAAAGGTAAACAGCAAAAATTTACCTTGATTACAGGGCTCGATCAAATTTGATGCAAACCAGGTTTTTGTTTTTGTGAGGGGAGAATAGGGTGGGGTGGGAAGAGTCCTGTAGCATGTTTTGAAGGCATTATGGTAAATGTAATACAGAGTTGAAAATGTTTCTAAAATGTCTGAGTCATAGTGCTGCAGAGCTGAAGGGGCCTTCGAGGCCATCCAGCGGAGCTCATGCCTCTGCAGTAATTCCTCTCACAGCATCCCTGACGAGCACCAGTCTCTGCTTGAAGTCCTTCGGGGATCATCGATTCAGAACTGAAAGGGTCCTCTAGACTGACCTTCTCATTTTACAGATGAGGAAACTGAGACCCACGGCGGGGAGGGGGCGTTTAAATTCCTTACCGAAGGTCACACAGAATTTGAATTCACTTTTTCTCATTCCAAATACTGTGTTCTTTCTGTTTTATCATGCTAATTTTCACTGGAAAGCAGGACTGAGATCAAATCCAGCCTCAGATACTTATCAACTGTATGACCTTGGGCAAATCACTTAACCTCTGTTTGCCTTAATTTCCTCATCAGTAAAATGGGGATAACAATAGCACTTAATCTGTTGTTGTTGTGAGGATCAAATGAGATAAATAATTGTAAAGTGCTTTGCCATCCTTATAGTGTTAATAAATGCTAGTTATTGTTATTATTATATATTATATATAATTATTGTTATGTACATCCTAATTTCACCTCTTTGGAACTTCCATCCCTTGTCCCTTGCTCTACCCCACTGCAGCCAAGTACCAAAAGTCTAATCCCTCTTCCAGAGGACAGCCCTTGAAGTGTCTGAAAACAGCTATCCAACCAGTCTTTTATATGATATGAGACTGGAGGCCTTTCGCCATCTTGGTTGCCTTCCTCTCCAGCTTATCAATGCTTCTTCTAAATGTGGTACCCAGAACAAAGCATCAGATTCAGCACCATGGATGTCATGTAAGGGGTACAGGCCATTACTTAGATACTATGTTTTTCTGAATGGAAACTAAGACTGAATCAGCTTTCTTGGCCACTCGGTCTGATTGCTGACTTGGTCATTAGAGATCAGTAAATCTAAGCTCTGCCTAACAACCTCTTAAATGCTTAAAGTGGGGCATTATGCTTCCTTTGAATTTTCTCTTTCCTTTCTCCATCAGTCCATTGGCCATCATTAAGTGGTTCTTTGATGACTAACAGTCTTTTAGGGTCTAAGGTTCTAATTTTGGACATTAGTACAGGAAGAAATCTTAGAGATCATTTACCCAGCCTTCCCATATTAAAGATGAGAAGGCCAAGGCCCAGAGAGTGATTTTCCCAAGAACCTGGAGACAAGAATCCTCTGAATTTTAATCTAGTGATTTTCCTTTCCTTGCCAAGGTGGGTTTGGGATTCCCAGGATGGATGATACTTTTGGAAACTAAATCTCTCATATCAGTTTGTTTGTCATTGATATCACCTTGGAGTTATGGAGGATCCATCACCTTCTGGAAAGTTTGAGTGTTAGGAGAAAGCAGATCCTTACCAAAAGACAGATGGGCCTGAATTCAACTTTTCTATTCCTAAGGGACCTTAGAGACCATCTAATCCACCTTCCCCCCTATTTTACAGATGGGGAAACAGAGGCCTAAAGAAGTAAAGGGACTTAACCAAAGTCTCAGAGGTAGGATGGACTTGAACCCAGTACCTAGCCATTCTTTCCACAATATCAAGCTGCTTCCTTTATTTTTCCCCCCTTAGTCCTCAGATTCCCATTCCCCCAATGAGCCAATGTTCTTTTGCCCCCCTCAAAACCTTCCCTCTGGAAAAAAACACAACTTTTAACTCACTCACACTAAGGTATAAATGATAGATAGCAGCATCCCCAAATTTTATCCCACTTATCTTACCTAGCTGTAGCTAAATTTTAACCAGGTTCCAAGCCTTAAGCCAGATCAAATCAATTCCGTTAAGAGATGTTTACTGAAGGTTTTCTGTAGGCTGGCTGGGAGGAGACAGAGAGATTGGATATGACTCAGTTTCTGCCTGCCTGGAACTCATGGTCTTGATGTGGGCCAAATGTCATGTATAGATAATTATAGTGATGTACAAAACAAAGTGCCCTGTGAGGTGTGTGTTGGCTTTGGAGTCAGAGAACTTGGGTTCAAGTTCTGCCTTCCCATTTCTGCCTGTGTGACCCACAAGTAGGTCCTTTGTGGGCCTCTTTCTTCTTCTGTAAAATGAAGGGTTTGAATTAAGATGATCTCTAAGGTTCCTTCTACCTCCAAATCTAGAATCTGTCTGATGTGAAGGGGGAGGTTGTAGTGGACATTAGGGAATCAGGGAAGGGCCTTGGAGCTGATGGATGAAATTTAGGCATCAGCTGTCTAGGGCAGGGTGGGATGGGGATATAGAGGGAAGAAGAAGGGGGTGCTTCCTGGTTCTTCCTCCCAAATTATAATTGTATCAACAAATAATTTGTTATAAAAAATGCAGAGGTTTCTCAGGCCTAGACATCCAGTATGAGTCAGCAGTGCTTCAGGGAGGCCCCAAATGCTCACGCAATCTTGTGCTGCAGAAAATGAAGCAGATTGGAGGGAGTAAGGGAGCGGGTGGTGTCACAGCCCTGGGGCCTGGTCACAGCCCGTCTGCAGGATGGTGGCTGGTTCTGCGCATTGCGTTTTGGGAAGGACTTTGATGATCAGGAGCCCACCTTGAGGGGAGTCCCTAGAGCTCTAAGACTATTTAATCTGGAGAAGAGGGGTTTAATCTTTGCCTTCAAATACCTGGAGAGCTGTCAGGTAAAAGATTACATTTGTCATTTTTGCCCAACAGAGCAGAACTAGGAGGGAACAAGGAAGGGGGAGGGAGGGAAAAAGAGAGAGAGACAGGAGGGAGGGAGAGAGAGAGAGAGAGAGAG